GCCCAATGTTCAAGTTTGTCAAGATCCTTCTGTATCTTAAGCCTGTCTTCTGGAGTGTTGGCTATTCCTGTCAGCTTGGTGTCATTTGTAAATTTGATGAGTTCCCCATTTATCCCCCTGTCCAAATCATTGATGAAGATGTTGAAGAGTACTGGGCCTAAAACAGAGCCTTGGGGTACTCCACTGCATACTTCCTTCCATGTAGATGCAGTTCCATTGAATACATGTTGAGTGCATTTGGTCAGCCAGTTACGAATCCATCTGGTGGTAATGCTGTCTAACCCACATTTTTCTACTTTATCTAGTAGTAGGCTATTGTCTGCTTTATTAAATGACTTACTGAAGTCCAAGTAAATTATATTGATGGCATTCCTCTGGTCCACTAATTTTGTCACTTTGTCAAAGAACGCAATAAGATTAGTCTGGCACAATCTGTTTTTGACAAATCCATATTGGCTTTTGGTTATTACTTTGTTTACTTCTAGGTGTTCACTAATTCATTGCTTGATTATCTTTTCCAGAATCTTCCCTGGTATTGAGATCAAGCTAATAGGTCTGCAGTTTCCTGGAACTATTTTTTCCCTTTTTTGAAGGGCAGATATCTCCTGTAAGGAGTCCTGGGCCTATTAACAATTTACCTTAAGATTAGAAGCTGCAGTACAGAGGTGGGTTCCTACCAGTTTGCACCTATTCGGTAGAACCGGTTCGTCAAATCTACCGAACCGGTTAGAAGAGGTTCTACCAGTGGACCTGGAAAGCAGGCCTCTTCTAACCGGTTCGGTAGATGCAGGCCTCTTCGAACCGGTTCTACCGAATAGGTGCGAACTGGTAGGAACCCACCTCTGCTTTGCACCCACGATAATACTAGAACTTGCTGTCTCCCAGTTTCTAGTTTGATGCCTGAACCATGTCACCAAACTCGCTCTCTCTTACAGTCTCTTAAGTAGCACTATTCCCTATAAAACAGGTTCATCTTCATGTACCAGAGACAGGAGGCTTCCCAGACATTGAATCATAAAAAGAAGCTCCTAATCTGCCTTCTAATACACATATTCATGATTTCCCAAAGTTTTTGACACCTGCAAACCAGCTCAAGTTTCAGGAAAATGTGTATTTTCCCCCTGCTGGTCTTTCAGTGATTGCAATTAGGGAAAACTGGAAGAGAAGCTTGTTTCAGTTAATGTTTTTTAATAGCAGATGGGGTGCTGCTATTTGATTTGATCTGTGAGTGTGTGGTTTTTTTTTTCTTCCTTGTTCCAAGTGGGTATTGTATAACTCTGCATGATGATGTGATTACTTTGTATGTGACAATGTGGCCACATTTTACTGGGCATCGCCACTTTTAATTTTAAGTTAATAACGAGAAGCACGGGGCTTTCTGGACAGCATTTTAATACTCAGGCACATTGATGGAAAGAAAGGACATTGACGAAACGTTCATCAAACAGGAATAAATCTCATCCATACAGTAGTGGACGGCAATGCAACAGCTCCAGCCTTTTCTCTTGCACAAAGCAGTGCCCAATTACTTGCTATTGATCTGTGATTGCATTGTGCCAAATGGAATGCCAGTCTCAATTCATTTGGTCCAATTGAATTTCAGCCAATATGAATTGATAGTTGGCATTTTTCCTTTTGGAACATTTGCCTGTCAACAGGGAACAAATTAACAGGTTGGATGGTTTTGTTGCAAGATAATCCTTCTTTGAAAAGTCTAAAAGTGCAGAATCTGTTTTTGAATTTGTTTCTTCCCTAGCATTGGGGGGCGCGGGGGGGGGGAATTAAAGGGAATAATGTTGTCTTCATTTGAATTCGTTCTCCGAAAGAAGTGGATGCCCTGTTCACATTGCTTAAAATTCTGCGCTATTCTCCACTTATTTTTTATTGATAATCAAGTGAATAATTGAAGTCCAACAGCTACATGAACATCACATAAATCATCTTCCAGATGCAAATAATGTTACTATGTTTATTCATAACTCACTTTCAACATGAAGCTCAAAAGGCTTTTATTGCAGATGATGGTGGGCTTGTATAAGATGCCTGTTACAATAGCTCCAACTACTCAGTGACTACACTCACGAATGGAAAAAGACCTGAAGGACAATAGAATCCATATGAACCATGTATTAGGTGAGGAGTACAGTCTCATACATATGATTACTCCAGAGGTGGGTTCCTACCAGTTCGCACCAGTTCGGTAGAACCGGTTCATCAAATCTACCGAACCGGTTAGAAGAGGTTCCACCAGTGGACCCGGAAAGCAGGCCACACCTACAGAAGAGGTTCCAAAAATTTTTGAAACCCACNGCTTTTCTGTTTTCCAATAGGTTTATTTTGATCTTTGGCCATAAAATAATGACATCTTATTGATCTCACTACAATGCCATCCAGATATCCTGCTCTGTCCCTAGATGACCTTGGAGCTAGATCAAGTACAGTATATATGTTTATTTTTAAGATCAGTGACCCTTTGAGAGTCTTGTTCAGTCATTATGTTGAGCTACGGTGGCACAGTGGTTAGAGTGCAGTACTGCAGGCTACATCTGCTGATTGCTGGCTGCCTGCAAATTGGCAGTTCAAATCTCACCAGGCTCAAGGTTGACTCAGCCTTCCATCCTTCCGAGGTGGGTAAAATGAGGACCCAGATTGTTGGGGGCAAGATGCTGATTCTGTAAACTCCTTAGTTAGAGGGCTGTAACAAACCATTGTAACATGGTATATAAGTCTTAAGTGCTATTGCTATTGTTAGCTTAGAGTGGGGAATGGGAACTATTTTGAATTGATGGCTCCCCTCTTGGGTTTTGCATTGACCAGATTGAAAGGAGAAATTTGTGATTTGGAATGTGTGGTGGCTCTCATAGCAGCTCCATAAGAACCTATGAGCCTTTCAAGAGCAATTGTGGGGGTGTCAAATACATAATTATAGCAGGTACAACTGAACAGTTGAAGCCCCATTCCTTTTTCATATATGTTGCATGTGTTGCATGCACATAAAAGGAGCAGGCTTCTAATTTGTAGTCATCATATTTATTTTTTAAAAAAGCCGCAGCCCCAGACGGAGGAGCGGAGCCCGAGCTTTCATCGCTGTCCCCGCCAGTCACAGCGGGGTGCGCCGAGTGACTCGCGCTGCGATGCCAGCAACCCCTGCTGCCCCCTCCCAGTTCTGCCGCCTGGCCCAGTGCATAGCCGCCAGCTCCGCCTCCCGGCTGCCCAGGTGAAGCGAATTTCACATGTAGACGCGGAGACGGACCTCTCTAGGGAGGCCGCGGGCTGGCAGTAGCCGCTGCGGGCTGGCTTCCCCCCCACCCCACCTCCTCCACTAGCCTTTGTCCCTCCACAGTAGGGCAGCTGTTGGGAGGAGACGGCCCTCCTCTCCTTCTCCCCCTTTGCGGAGTTGGGCGGGCCGCCCTGAGAAGGACTACCACTTTCTGAACTGTCTGCATCAGATTTAAATCGATTTTACCATCTTCTCCTCCCAAGCCTCTTGGAAATGTAATTTTAAAATGGACAACACGAGGAGCTCCCACTGCATGCTGGGAGATGTAGTTCTGCAAATGTCGAAGTCTCTGGATGGACGTTGTTTCCCGGCAGCCTTTTCGTTGCGCCCCATTCAAAACAGCGGCAGTTGGTTGAGTGCTCTTGTGCGGTAGCGGGCTAGTTTGCAGGCGTCTTGAGATTTCTCTGGCAGTTTTAGTATGGATTCCAACATTTACAAGTGCCTTCAGCCTGGCTTATCGATTAATATTGAGCGCAGCAATGGTGAGTGCCGAGAGGAGAAAGGTGATTTGCTTCGGAGCGTCTTTTGCCTCCTTCCGTAGCGCTGGTGTTCTCTGGAGGCTCCACGAGATTAATGCTCAGTGCGTTATTATCGCTTTCCTGCGGATTCGTATGTCTGTAATGCAGAAGAATGGTGGCTGGGCTAAATCCTGTTCTTCGGGACAGAAGAGTTGTC